TAATGATATGTTGTTTATTTTATTTTAAAAAAAAAATCCAAATTTTAATCATGAGGCTATTTTATTTTTGGCCAGACATGTAAGCATTGTCTCTTTTTAAAGAATTTTCTTTTATTTTTATTTTTAATTTTAATTAATACTCTCTTTCAATTTTTCTTAATTGTTTAGCTTAGTTTTTTGAAACTAGTAATTTTAGTTACTTGTTTAAAAGATTAACATAAATTTAAAAAAATTATTTGAGTTTATTTTTTATTTTAATTTTATGTTCTTTTAGTTTCATCACTTAACAATGTATTTTTTTTATAGGATTTTTATTTATATTGATAATGACTTGAGTTATCCCAGGTTTTTTTTTATTATTCTCTGTTCAATTTATCTTTTTTTTTAACTTGAGTTATTCCAGGTTTTTTTTTTTTTTTATTCTCTGTTCAATTTATCTTTTTTTTTTAATTTTAATTTTTAATAAAATTAAATTAAATTAAAATCTTCATCTCATGATATTTGAATTATTTTGCCTTCTAATTCGTTATCCTAACAATAAATGTAGGCCCTCTTGGTGTTAACATGAAACCTTTCACCATTTTTATAAATCATTTCTAGTTGTTGAGCGATGATAGGTTTTTAATGGATTTTTTTTTTATTTTTTTCTCAAGAATAATTAATTATTAATTGTTTTATTTGTATTATTTATTATGATTTTTTTAAAATTACATCATTAAATAAATCGAGCTTGGAATTGATTAATTATTAATCTTGTATTTTTCTTATATTTTTTTTCATCAACTTAAATTTTTTTTATTTTAATTTCAATCTGACCAATGCAAAATTAACGCTCGTTAAAAAGAGTTATAGAGGAGTTAGGTCAAAATGAGTGAAACAAGAGGATGAACATGAAATAAAATGGTAAGACGTCGGAGGAAATTGGTGGCGTAACAATAAATAATACTAGTATTAATTAGGAAGCAAAGTGACAGAAAAGGCGCGTGGGAAACAAACCAGCACACCTCTGGATCCTACCTGATTTCCCACAGGTAAGGTGTCGCGGTAAGCCCCCGATTCATCGACTGAGATAGAGAAACAGGGAGAGATGCTGGAAAACCCTACACCTGCTGCCACTGCTCCTCCTCCAGATTCCACAACAGTCAAGCGCTATGCTCCTCCCAATCAAAGGCACCCCTCCGCCTCCTTTTTTTAAGCTTTTAATTTGTTATCCTCTCCTATTTCTCACAAAAACCTCTTTGTTTGCTTGTTTGTTTTTCAGGAACCGTTCTCTCAATAGACGCAAATCAGGAGGTCAGTTTTCGTCTTTAGTTAATTAATTAAAATTTAAATTTAAATTCTTGAAAATGAAGTTCGGATTTTTGTCTGGTGCAGATCGGTTTGATAGAGGCAACAGTCTTTATCAAAATGATGGAGAGAAGAACCAGCAGCCACAATCACATGCTAATACAAGAAATAATATCCCGGATCATCATGGTGATGCAGGGAGCAGCAGTTTCCTCAATGACAACTCCTCTCCCCACTCTTTAATACCGTTGGAAGGATGTTGTCGGAGTGAGGCTTCTCAGTTTCTAAATGATCGTATGCACACTCCACTACTGTTCCTTTCTAGAATAAAAATAAAAATTTGGTTAGTTAGTTAATTGCTTATTTTCATCGCCAGTCTAGGTTAACTGCTGAGCTGTGTAGCTCAAGCCCATTCATTTTAGGCACTTTGAATGCTATTCATAACCTATCTGTTTTCTATTCCATGCTTTTCAAACATACGTACATACATACATATATTTGTTTTCAAGTGCAGGTTGGGCAGCGATAATGCATAGCTACAATGATACATCGATAGATTTATCTGGTGAGTGAGTGGTATTATACTTGCTAGCCTTTTGATGCTGTGTTTTTCTTTGCCTGTGTAAAATTTGTATTTTTTTTTTTCATTTTGTTTATGCTAAGTTCCTTGACCGGTAGAGTTCTAATAAAATGATGTTTATGTTGATTGTAAAGTCAAGAGGCCCTTTATTATGTCGTATATTAATTTTTGTGAATGTTGGAGTGATCTTATAGCATATCGATGGTTGTATGGATTATGAGAGCTCGGAAATGGAAGAGAAAAGGAGTAGAATGAGTTGTGTTGTGGCACCTCTTTCTATTGATGTCTATGATATTGATCTTATAGGTTGAACCAGCACTAGTGTTTTCTTCTAGGTACCAGAATTGTACAGGACTTTTATGTTTTAATGGCAGTGTCTGGTGCTATCAACATTACTTTGATGTCTTACGGATATCCATCAGTATCTTTTCAGTGGTTGGATATGCTGATATAGTTAAAGTTGTCAATAAGGCCACAACAAGGACAAATTTTTGCCTCTTGTCAAGTTGATTTTTTTTTTGCAACGTTACTTCTAGATTTTAGTTGCTGTTGCTAGTTTGGGTGTATGATGTGTCAGCGCTTTTGTTTTGTTTTGATTCTCTTGTAATGTGGTAGTCCTTTCCACTCTCCTGTCTATGTTGCTCGATTCTTTTCTTTGCAATTGGAACAAAAACAATGAAACCTATTTCTGCTAGAACCTTGCAAGCATCTATGTAGATGGCAGAAAGGCCATGTAGAATGCCTATGTGTGCTATCATGTATTGGGTAGTGTGTTTATTGATCCCTAGTTCCCAGCAATATTGTTCTCTTCTTGTTTTTCATTTTCAGAAAGACCAGTTATGTATTCAGGAAGCAGCCCACCAGCATGGGGACAATTTAAACTCCCTCATCAGGTCAATCCCTCTCCCTCACTGCCTTTCCCTCACTCCCTCCATCCCTCTCCCTCATTCATGTGATCTGCTATTGGATTGCTTTTCAGGTAATGTCTCCAGTGAACAGTGTCGGAGCTCCTAATCCACAGATGGATTTCTTGAGTGAACTTCACCGTGCAGTTCAGACTGCCAAAGCCAGTCATGAGAACTAACACTACCACATCACTGCACGAGACAAATGCTGTTTCTGGATCTGGAATCATGTAATGATTTCTTGGTGTTTATTAAAACCCAAAACATGGTACTTATTTAGAGATGTTATTTATGAAGACAATCGATGGTCCTTTTGTGTAGACATGACCTTGCGAAAGTGAATGTGCTTCTTATGACTTATGTATACTATTGCCCCTGTGCGGTTCAATGTTGCTGAGGTTCTCTTTATGCATGAGTGAAATGCAGGGCATGTTTGTGTGCTTGTTGGATGATCTGGCATGTGTAGTCCTATTATGATGTGATGGAATCATGGAAGAGCGAATGATTGCAAGATGAACCTCGAGAATTTTAATGGAATTTACTGTGATTATCAAGCTTTCACTATTTATAAGTTGCAATAATGGAAATTGCATTTTCATATTGGTCAACGTCAACATCAACATCAACATCTTGCTACATTAGTTTAACCTGGCATTACAGGAATGCTGGCTTGCTACATAAGTTTAACCTGGCATTACAGGAATGCTGGCTTTCTTAAGATCTGTCATCGTTTTGTCACCCACTTGTTTCGACAAGCTCCCCAGACCTTGATCCCCAGGGAACTCTTTTCTTCCTTAATATATTACTCTCTGTTCATTTTGTTTCAGGCTTCATGCAACTAGATACCAACAGTCTCTACCTTACATAACGGTATGTAACATCTTTGCTATTGAACATAAATGCAAAACAATTGGTGATTTTGTTTGTCTTACATCATCTCGAATGAATAGAAGGAACTTTAATCATGTGACTTGTGAGTGACTACCCTTTCCACACAGGAATGATTCCTTGAGCTGCCAAGCGTTTTTCCACCCAAAATACGATGTGTTTTTCAGTAATTTTCTTCTCATCGATCAGAAAAGGCTCAACTGTGCTGACTCCTGAACCATAGGATGATAGAGAAAACCCTTTCGGACCTGCCCCAACAAGGAAATGATGCCAGATGTTTTTGTTACTTGTAAGATGAAATATTGACAGGCAAAATACCATAGTTTTAACCCTCAAGCTGCCATCAAATAAAAGTTACCTGTGAGTCCATCAGGGAAGAAGGCCCAAAATGAATGAGGAGTGCCCTTCTGTAGAAAGGAGCCTTCCAACTGGGATTTTTAATATACCAATAGAAAGATGAATTGCTGTTAAGAGGTTGGATCCATTTTGACTGGCTCATGGCATTTTAGGCAAAAACACAGCAAAGAAACTTACTCTGTTGTCTTTGAAAGATAGCTCGAGTTCAGTTATATCATCTTGAGCCTCAAGAGTAGCTTTCAGAGATGGGATCACATCCTCCTCCATCAGCTGAGAAAGTGGCTTGGCAGGAGCTTTCTTGGGCTTTGCTGGGGCCTTCTTTTCAACTGGCTTTACCTCCGTTGCATCAGCAGCAACTGACACGGTTCACTTACAATTTTAAAACTACACTTAAACACGACTAGACTTGTTGCTATGAACCAAGAACATGTCAACTTACCGGTGGAAGTGGACGATTCTTGCACAGCAGAGCACGCTATTCTTCTTCCCGATGTTACCAACTTGCTGGCCATCTGCTTCTCTCATTCACACAGACCATACAAAATGTTAGTCTGTGAATTAAAAGATTAGCTCATATAGAAGTAAAAGGAAAGGATCTTTCTCAAACTTTCATGTTTGAGAAAGGAGAAGTTTGTGTCAGGAAAGCCATTATGCAATTCTAGGCTAGCAGAGCTATCTGTCTTGAGTCCCCCACAGTGGTTTCTAAGTGTCATCACTGCGTTCTTGTTTTTCTTTCTGCAATTTTCGCAGGCATAAGAACAGCATACAGCTTGAGGCTGATAAAATTTAGTAAATTATAAAGCTCAGTTGAGTTGGATTTACTATCTCTCTCTTGTGGCCTTAAAATAAATAATTTCCAAATGAATCAACCAAGCCTAATTTACTTCTTTCTTCTCCAAGATTTAATTGTTCAATACCAGGTTGAATATATATATATATATATATTATATATATATATATATTAAAGAGCTAAAATAAAATAGAATGAATAAATAATTGCATACAGGTCAGAAATAGACGCATACCAAATGGAGTGGAGGAGAGGAGGTGGCTCTGCCATTCTTCCTGAAACATGAAGGTGATGACGGGAAGCTTGAAACTCCCACAGCTCCACCTCTTGTTGTCATATTTTGAAGTTTTCTTAATAACCCTAGGATTTCTCAGTATCGTGGTCTCTGCGTTTTTTCAATGACCACTCATTTATCCTTTCATTATTGTTATTATTATTGTTATTATTATTTCACTTGCTCTTTATATGGGAAGAAAAACAGACTGAATGGAGGGCTAATCGTATACAAACTGGAAGAGAAGCAGCAGTGAGGAAAGAGAAGAGTCTTCTGATCCACACAATGTTTGGTAGAATACATGCCACTGATTTCTTTTATTGTTTCCTTTTCTTTTTCTTCTTGGGCATATATGTATTGCACATGATGACAAGATAAAGATAATTGAAAGTTCAAACCCTAGGTCCCTAGGTGTCCATCATCCCTTGCCACTCAGTGCCTGGTGGCTATATTTTTGTTTTTGTTATTTATTTATGTGAGGTGTCCGGGCCAGCTTACACACACCACGATTAATCCCCACAGCCCACTAAACATCCTGCAAACCCAGTGAGCAGGTAAGATAAAATAGAATGAATAAATAATTGCATACAGGTCAGAAATAGACGCATACCAAATGGAGTGGAGGAGAGGAGGTGGCTCTGCCATTCTTCCTGAAACATGAAGGTGATGACGGGAAGCTTGAAACTCCCACAGCTCCACCTCTTGTTGTCATATTTTGAAGTTTTCTTAATAACCCTAGGATTTCTCAGTATCGTGGTCTCTGCGTTTTTTCAATGACCACTCATTTATCCTTTCATTATTGTTATTATTATTTCACTTGCTCTTTATATGGGAAGAAAAACAGACTGAATGGAGGGCTAATCGTATACAAACTGGAAGAGAAGCAGCAGTGAGGAAAGAGAAGAGTCTTCTGATCCACACAATGTTTGGTAGAATACATGCCACTGATTTCTTTTATTGTTTCCTTTTCTTTTTCTTCTTGGGCATATATGTATTGCACATGATGACAAGATAAAGATAATTGAAAGTTCAAACCCTAGGTCCCTAGGTGTCCATCATCCCTTGCCACTCAGTGCCTGGTGGCTATATTTTTGTTTTTGTTATTTATTTATGTGAGGTGTCCGGGCCAGCTTACACACACCACGATTAATCCCCACAGCCCACTAAACATCCTGCAAACCCAGTGAGCAGGTAAGGTACCGCGGGAATGACAAGCGTGCATGATAAGGCTCGAATCCAGGTGCGGAGGGGACAAGCCCCCGGTGACTATATTTACTTGCATAAGCCATAAGTTAAACGGTGTGGAATTCTTTGTTCATCCATATTTAATATATTGAGTAATTAACAATGTTTTTTTCTTCTTTTTTTTTCTTTTTTTTCACTTTTTCGTTTCTTTAACTTTTTCTTAGTATTTTTTTTATTTTTTCAAACTATTTCTATCGGTTTTACTTTTTCAATAATGAATTGATTAAAAATTTTATTTTATAATTTTTTTATTGAAATACTGTGAATTATTATAATATTTTTTTATATAGTTTTTTTTTTAATTATTTATGTCACTTTTATTTTTTTAATATTGAGCTGATTAAGAATTTAGTTTTATAATTTTTTTCTTAAAATATTATTGATTGCTACGGTGTTTCTTTATGTGTTTTTTTTTGTTTTTATATGATTTTCTCTAAAATTATCTTTCTTGATTTTATTTTTTAATATTGAGCTAGTTATGAATTACAGTTATAATATATGAGAGAAACACTATAGCTTTTCTCACAAATTACTGTAGATTACTATAGTGTTTTTTTCCACATAGTTTTTTATGTTTTTTTTTTAAATTATCTTTTGTCATTTTTTATTTTTTTAATATTAAATTGGTTAAGAATTACAATTATAAATAAGATAAGACAAAATTATTTGGGAAAAACACTGTAACTTTCCTCACAAAACACTATGGATTGATATAACTTTTCTTCATATAGTCTTTTTCCAGTTTCTTTTATTTTTTTTTGTAATATTGTTTTTTAAATTATCTTTGTCGATGTTATTTTTTAAATATTGAGCTGGTTAGAATTTAAATTTCTAATAAAGCTTAATTCTGTGAGGAAAATACTGTAACTTTCCTCACAAAACACTATGGATTGATACAATTTTTCTTTATATAGTCTTTTCCTAGTTTTTTTTTGTAATATTTTTTTTTAAATTATTTTTCTTTTCCTTTTTTTCACCTTTTCGTTTCTTTAACTTTTTCTTTGTATTTTTTTTATTTTTTTAAACTATTTCTATCGGTTTTACTTTTTCAATAATGAATTGATTAAAAATTTTATTTTATAATTTTTTTCTTTGAAATACTGTGAATTATTATAGTATTTTTTTATATAGTTTTTTTTAAAAAAATTATTTATGTCACTTTTATTTTTTTAATATTGAGCTGATTAAGAATTTAGTTTTGTAATTTTTTTCTTTAAAATGCTGTGAATTGTTGTAGTATTTTTCCATATGATTTTTTTAATGATTTTTTTCAAAATTATCTTAGTCAATTTTTTTTTAATATTAAGTTGGTTAAGAATTATAATTACAATAAAGCTAAATCATATGGGAAGTTACAATATGTGAGAGAAGCACTATAGCTTTTCTCACAAATTACTGTAGATTATTACAGTGTTTTTTTCCACAGTTTTTTATGTTTTTTTAAAATTATCTTTTGTTATTTTTATTTTTTTAATATTAAATTGATTAAGAATTACAATTATAAATAAGATAAGACAAAATTATTTGGGAAAAACACTGTAACTTTCCTCACAAAACACTATGGATTGATATAACTTTTCTTCATATAGTCTTTTTCCAGTTTCTTTTATTTTTTTTTGTTATATTGTTTTTTAAATTATCTTTGTCGATGTTATTTTTTAAATATTGAGCTGGTTAGAATTTAAATTTCTAATAAAGCTTAATTCTGTGAGGAAAATACTGTAACTTTCCTCACAAAACACTATGGATTGATACAATTTTTCTTCATATAGTCTTTTTCCAGTTTCTTTTGTGTTTTCTTTTTTGTAATATTTTTTTTGAATTATCTTTATCGATGTTATTTTTTAAATATTGAGCTGGTTAGAATTTAACTTTCTAATAAAGCTTAATTATGTGGGGAAAACACTATAACTTTTCTTACAAAACACCGTGGATTGCTCTCCATGTAGTTTTTTTCTTATGATTTTTTTTAAAATTATATTTGTCAATTTTATTTTTTTAATAATAAACTAGTTGATAATTATAATTATAAATTATTACAAATAAGGCTAAATCATATAGAGAAGCATTGCAACTTTCATCACAAAACATTATAAATTGCTATAATATTTCCAGCATGGTTTTTTTGTTCTTATTTTTTCAAAAATTATCTTTGTTGATTTTTTTTTAATATTGAGTTGATTGAGAATTTAGTTTTGTAATTTTTTTTTTAAAACACTGTGAATTGTTGTAGTGTTTTCCCACATATTTTTTTATGATTTTTTTTAAAAAAAAATTTGATGATTTTTTTTAAATATTGAGTTAGTTAAAAATTATAATTACAATAAAACTAAATCATATGAGGAAAGCGTTGTTTTCTTCACAAAACACTGTAGATTGCTATAATATTTTTCTAAATAGGTTTTTTTTTTATGATTCTTTCTAAAATTATCTTTATCGATTGTGTTTGGGAAAACACTATAATTTTCCTTACAAAGAATTGTCAATTGCTATAACATTTTTCCTCATGGGTTTTTATCCTTTCAAAATTATCTTTATCAATTTTTTTTTAATATTAAGTTAGTAGAGAATTTAACTTTGTATTTTTTTATTTTTATTAACAAAAAAGTTAAATCATATGATGAAAATACTGTATTTTTCTTTACAAACTATTATAGATTACTACAAATCATTTTGTTTAATCTCTAAGTTTTTTTTATCACTAACATAACTTTTTTTTCCCGTCATGAAATATTAGCTTTATCATACCTTTAATTTGTATTACTTACATGGTGCTGATTTACAATTATAACATTATCAAATATATTTATTTTATAAGCTCGTGGCAGCTCGCAAACATGTTATCTTATTTATCTTTTATATTTTGTAACCTAAGTAGCATAAAAACTCAAGTTACAGAATAAGTACCCCCCCCACACACACACACACACACACAAGTTAAAGGATGTGGGAAATTATGTTCATCCATGCCCAATACACTGTTTTTGTTTTTTAAAAATTATTTATATTATTTTTATTTTTATTTTTATTTTTAATATTAAACTGATTAAAAATTTTATTTTAGAATTTTTTTCTTTAAAATATTATAGATTGCTATGGTGTTTTTCCACATGATTTTTCTATTTTATTTTTTTATTTTTTAAAATTATATTTATCAATTTTATTTTTTTAATTTTATTTTTTAAATATTAAATCGGTTAAGAATTACAATTACAAGTAAATACAAGTAAGGTTAAATTATGTAGAGAAAACGCTGTAACTTTCCTTACAAAATACTATGGATTGCTAAAGTTTTTCCTCACCTGGTTTTTTTCTAGTTTCTTTTATGTTTTTTTTTTGTAATATTTTTCAGTTTCTTTTATGTTTTTTTGTAATATTTTTTAAAAATTATCTTTGTCGGTGTTATTTTTTTTTAATATTGAGCTAGTTAGAATTTAACTTTGTAATAAAACTTAATCATGTGGAGAAAATATTATAGCTTTTCTCATAAAACACTATGAATTGCTACAATGTCTCTCCACTTGTTTTTTTTTTCCTTAAGATTTTTTCAAAATAGTCTTTGATAATTTTATTTTTTGCATATTGAGCTTGTTGAAAATTATAATTATAAGTCATTACAAATAAGGCTAAATCATTTGGGAAAGCACTATAGCTCTCATCACAAAACACTGTAACTTGTTACAGTATTTTCAACATGGTTTTTTTCCCCTTGTTCTTTTTGTGTTTTTTTAAAAAATTTTGTTGATTTTTTTTTAATATTGAACTGAAGTTTTTTCCCCTTGTTATTTTTGTGTTTTTTAAAAAAAAATTGTTGATTTTTTTTTAATATTAAACTGATTAAGAATTTAACTTTATATTTAAAAAAAAAACACTGAATTATTGCAATGTTTCCCCACATGATTTTTTTATGATTTTTTTTCAAAAATTATTTTTATTGATTTTTTTATAATATTGAGTTGTTAAGAATTATATTTAAAAAAAAACACTGTGAATTATTGCAATGTTTCCCCACA